GGCAAACTATGTGGGGAATGAAAAGAAATGTTGCATCGCCAGCGGAAAAGGGCGGACACCAGCAGTGACATTGTGCGGACAAATGAATAGAAACGCTGCGTGGCCAGCGGAAAAGGGCGGACAGACTTGGAAAACAAATGAGTAGACATGCTACATGGCCAGCGGAAAAGGGCGGACACCAGCAGTGACACAAAGGGCGGACACATCTTAAGAAAGAATTGAGAACCCCTAACAGTAAACTGTTTGGTAAAAATAGGCTGAAACAAGAAGGAAGAATTGTTAAATATGAATAATTTTTAAATAATATGAACATGTAATTAAAGTTTTAAGAATGTAAAACTTGGTGTGGTCGTTCTTCCCCTCCAGGAATCCCGGGCGCTTCACAGAGGAGCCTCCTCCGCCACTGACCGCAGCAGCCGCCTCGTTGCCCAACTGCCAGCGGCTCAACCTTTGGAGCGATATGAGGAAAGAAGAAACTAAAATAGTCTCATTGGCTCTCACCTAATAGCGATGGCCTCCAATTATGAGAGAAGAAGAAGAAAAGAAAGTTAAGTTAACAGAACTAATGCCACGTATCTGTCCTTTTTCCTTGTGTCTTGTTTCAATCTTTGAACATGTCCTTGCTTTTCTGTCTTTCCTCATTTCTGGGAACCCTTCTTCTCTTTCTTTTCCTTTTCGTTCTTCCATTCTTCCGCTTGTTCTGTTGGAACTTTATGCCTCTTTTACTCTGATCTTTCTTACTTTTGTTATGGTTGAAATCCAGGAGTTCTCTCTGGGAACGATCCCCATGGCCAAGGTTTCCTGTTCGGTTACTGTATAATCCCGAATCTGTGTCTGTTGTTCAACGATTCGTTGGCACCTGTTACTACTAGCGTGGCACTTGTTACTACTAGCTTCTTGTTGAGAGAATTTGCCCAAAACAAATTGAGAACTTACTGTACCTGATGGCTGATCCACCCAAACAGAACATCATCTGGGGCATGACCCACGCTCTGTACTACCGCTTCCCACTACCAAACCATGAATATGAGAAAAAGCTTCGACGCCACACTCAAAGTAGCATTCAATTCTGTGGAGTATCTTCTTAAGTGTTGCTGTAGTACTTTATTTTTTCCGCTATGCCTCTATTACTCTTTGTTGTCCTCTTCTTCCTATTCTTCTTCCTCTTCTTCTTCTTCTTCTTCGTCTTCGTCTTCGTCTTCAACTTCTTCTTCTTCTTCTTCGTCTTCGTCTTCTACTTCTTCTTCTTCTTCTTCTTCTTCTTCTTCTTCCTTGGGCCCGGGTGCTCTTCAATGACGATCTCCTCCAGCATCATGGCCTCAACGGTGTCCCGCTTGGCCTCCGCATCTCTCAAGCGCCGCTCCGCTTCAGCCTGACGCGGTCAGTCACGGTGGCCGTGGCGGCTGCATAGGCGGAACAGCATCGCTACTAGGGGCTCCTGGCCTTACTAGGAGCAAGGGCATCGCTACTAGGAACAAGAAGAAAATTAAGATTAGAATTAAAAATCGAAATCTAATTAGAGTTTAATTAGAATTGAAACAAGAAGCTACTAGAACCTTTTCGCGTGCGCGCGGGGGGGGTAGGATCGATCGGACGCTACTAGGGGCTCCTGGCATTTCTATGAGTAACAAGAAGCTACTAGGAACAAGAAGCAATCTCCGATTTCCACGTCATCCCAAGAATTGCCCCAACACTGTCCAGTGGATCCCCATAAATCCCACGCCAAACATGAAAGTCGTTCTTCGATGTTCAACGGGCAGATTTTTTCGATCTCCGATTCCTTTAGCCACTTCATTCCACGTCTTCCAAGTCTGTATGCTTTTTGCTCCGTTTCAACCGCTTCATTCATTCCTCCGCTTCCACTCATGTCGTTTCCAACGCTTCGTCTGCGCTTTCAGCCTGCGTCTCGGCTTCGAAGTGCAGCTGCAAACTGGTGACCCGCTTCTGGCGACCCGTCGAGAGCCATTGGATCAGAAACCTTTCAAGACGAAGTGTTGAACATGAAGAAGGCGAGGAGGAAAGCCGGAAAAGAAGCGATATAGTAGGAACAAGTGCCACGCTAGTAGTAACAAGTGCCTCACTAGTAGTAACAAGTGCATCGCTATTAGAAACAAGTGCCTTACTACTAAGAAGCGATAAGGAGAAATGACATGAAACCTCAAACCTGGCTCATGGACTGGACATGACTGGAGTCTCATGACCATCTCAAAACTAAGTTGTCTGAGTCTGTGAAAGCCAAGAAGCTGTTCTTCTCTGCGGTTGTATGCGAGGACCTCACAAGAAAGTGCGTGCAAGAGAAAGTTTTTGAGGTTGCAGGATGAACAGGAGGAATCCTAACACCGCTAGTAGGTTGGAGGCCATCGCTAGTAGGTTAAAAGGCATTCTATGGCATTCCAACAACCAAACATTGTGGCGCACTTCGCATTTCCGCCACTCACTTCGGAAATCCGGCAAATGGTACAAGCCTGAGTGCGGCCGGTCAAAAAAAAGAGCAAAATCATGACGATTTGTCAAAATTGCGTTTCTGCCCATAGACAGGTGCCTTACTAGTAGTAACAGGTGCCTTGCTACTAGTAACAAGAAGCTACTAGGAACAAGTGCCACGCTAGTAGTAACAAGTGCCTTACTATAAAGTAGTAACAAGAAGCTAGTAGTTAATTTAGTTTAATTTTACTTTAATTCTAATAGCTCTTTGTTACTACTAGTAAGGCACTTGTTACTACTAGCGTGGCACTTGTTACTACTAGTAACAATGGACGGGTCTTCAGGGATTGGTCTTCTGGGACGCCAGGCCTTTGGCTCGTAGGGGAGGATCAAAAGTCTCCTGCAAGAGGGCGCAAGGCGGCAGGACGCCACAGGAAACAAATGCCAAACAACATCCTTGCTCTAACTTGCAAGCAAAGGACGTTAATATATCCCTTGTATAAGTGGATCTACTTTGTCAGCAAGAAGAGGTCTTGTTCCTAGTAGCAAGGCCCTGTAGAAGGGCTCGTGAGCACCTTTGAAATACTTGATGCTGACCAAACATCCCAGCCACGAGGCTCTTCTCCTCCTCAATTGGAAGATCTGAATCAACCTGTGGTTGATGGAGCACAGCATACTCAGGTAGCTGTCATTATGTCATCATGCATGAACATGAACTACAAATGACAAAACAAGAACAGAACAGCAAGAAGAAGAAGAGGAGAAGAGAAGACTGCGTTGGAAATATCAAGCTACAAAAAGGACCACCGTTAAAGGCCTGAAGTATCGACAAAGAGCACCACATTTGCACTAGGAACAAGTGCATCGCTACTAGTAACAAGTGCCTTACTAGTAGTAACAAGAAGCTATTAGAAACAAGAATTCAATTAGAAACAATAAGCTACTAGGAGTTACTATAGGTTGGAGGCCATCGCTACTAGGTTCCTTAGAGTCAATTTTCTTATCATGACAAAATGACTGCCTTGGAGGCTTCAGCCTCTTCTCTGTAGGCCTGGCTACGGTTGCCCGACGGATAGGTTTCGTGAGAAGTCCATTCAGCCAATTGTGCATGTCAAGGACATGTAACCCCTCACACCTCATCTGCAGAAGGCTCCTTTGCATCAACCAGACTTTGGACCAAGAAACGAGTCACTCGAGAGTATTAAAGGAAGCATTGTGAAGTAATGTCTTTTTGTTCCTAGTAGCGATGCCCTTTGCTCCGAGTAGCGTCCTTGCTCCTAGTAGTAAGGCCAGGAGCTCCTAGTAGCGACCCTTCCTTTTTGGAAACTAAGTCGTTTCCTACGGCGAGATAGTAGGCCGTTGCAATGCGGCTGAAGTCGGCACTCCTGGATGCTCTGGGACCTGGCAATGCTGTCGCATGTCTGTTTCAAATATCAAGTAAAGAGTTACCTTTTGTTATTTGGGTGTTGATCTAAATTCCTTTATCTGGAATCCGTCATTCTTAGCCAAAAGAATATTACTTTAGCCAAACTTTCGCCTTCCTGCGTTTTATCTTTCGCCGAAGTATGTTGTATTTAAGTTTGCCATATATTTTGTATGACGGATATCAAACTTCTGACCATGTATAGCAATATGTGTATAGCAATATGTGTATAAATTTTATTGTGTTTATTTTTTGTCTTTTTCTTTGTTTCGCCCGTGACCCTGCCCTACTTAAAAAAGTAACGGAGAAGTTCACAACTAGCAATACGCTTCCTTGAAGAAGTGCTCGCACTAATGATTTGGTTCCTAGATTTTCTTAGGGAAACTAGTATGCCCTTTGTTCCTAGTAGTATGGCCAGGAGCCCCTAGTAGCGATGCCCTTTGCTCCTACTAGCGCCCAACACCCAGGCCTTTCGGGCCCTGTCAGCATCTTCAGCGGCTCTGCAAACCAGGCGGCCGGCAAGCGCTTTCCGGCCAAGGAACGGTCGATACCTCACCGACACTGCATCTTCGGCTTTGAGTGCAACGTGTCCTTGCTCCGTTCGTAGTACGGCCAGGAGCCCCTAATAGCTCTTGCTCCTAGTAGCGATGCCAGGAGCCCCGTTCGTAGCATCCGTTTAGTATGTGGTTCAAAAACTGAAGACCATCAGGTGTGCGAAATCCGTATCAAATATGTGCCATGAACAAGCGGGAGTCACGGAAGTATGTGACGAAGAACATGGTATTAATGTATATAACTGTTGAATTCTTCCTCAGATTATCAAACCAATAGTTGTTCCTCACTGTTCACTCCCAAATTAAGCCATGAGTTGCATTTTGTTGTTCATGGTTGTTGTTTTTGATCCAAATAGTCCTTAGACATTGACTTCTGATTACTAAGCCCTAAGAATCTTCCTCGATAAAGTTTGGTTCGACTTAGGCCATAAACATAAACCTCGCCACCCATGTCCATTCCTGAAGCAAAACATTTGTGTGTTGAATGTCACTCTCTTGCAAGCTTTGAGTGGACCTGCTCAATTTCCTGAGGCGATCCTAGTAATGTTCTCGTTCACAGCAAGTAGTACCAATTGCGGCCAGCTGAGCGCCTTCGTAGACCAAAGGTGGCAGTCTTGGCGACAACAGCCGCTTTGGCTGACGGGCCGTGAGTGCACCTGCAGCGCCTGGCGATTGTTGGCAAAATATAGTGACAAGTGCTTTCCAACCCAAGAGCGATGGCCTCCAACCTACTAGCGATTCTGTTGATGAATGTTGGTGGTTAACGAAAATGTGGGGGCTCTCCAAATCCAAGCTCAGCCAAGAAGGCAATTGAGTGAATGTTGAGAGGTACAAATGACAACAGAGTGCCAGCTTCCCTGCCAAGACAAAAACAAACAATACACATGTACAGATACATGAACAATGTATATATATATATATTGTGTCTACATTGTATTTCTGCTTCTCCGGTTCTTTCCGATTGCGAGACTGAAACCCTTCAAATGCAATCTTGTACCTTTGGTGAGTAATAAGCATGCTGGCCACTTCCCAGCACCATGCCTAGCGGGGTCTGAGTAAAAGCACCTGGCGAATGACATTGGACATTCAGACCCAATTAGTCCACTTCTTCCTCTCCGTCTTCGTTTTCCTCATTCAACTCTGGGCATGTGCCGCCTCGTACACAATGCTCAATTTGGATCAGACATGTGACTTTGGGAGAAAGTCTTGTACGAAATGCTCGTTGTAGAGCAAGCAAGGGTGTCCCAAAAGAGTCTCGCACAAGAGTGTCCTAGAAGAGTGTCCCACAGGAGTGTTGCACAAGAGTGTCGCACTAGATTGTCCTCGAGAGTATCAAGTAAGAAGGTTAAAGGTGTCTGAGAAGAGCGTCAAACAAGAGCGTCCGTCCCATCAAAGTGCTCTGTAAGCGTGGCACTCAGCCTGAGATATTCACATTGTTTTGCATTCGGGTTCCTGGGCTTCATCTTGTTCTAGCCTTTCTAAATCATCAGTCTATTCAGTATGTTGGAAAAAATCCTATGATGTTTAACATTATTCCATTATATGTCTTAAGAACCCTGTTGCCCTGTATTTTGCCTATTTTGTTTGACCTTTACATTGTCCTTTTCGATTGCCAGCCTGGTCTCCGCAATCGGACCAAAGGCTTCACCATGCGCGGCTTCACGCTGAGAGGCCCAGGACGTGGAGGCACATGGGTCTCCACCAAATACTCCTGTAGCGACGGAAAGGAACATGGTGGACCTGGTGCGTTCAGAACAAACAAATAGCTTGAGGAGTTCAACCAAAGCTAAAGCGAACGTTACTGGTAGCGATGCCCTTGTTCCTAGTAGCTTCTGGCTACTACTAGTAATGTCAGGAGCTACTATATAGTATGTTCTTGTCACTAGTAGTAAGGTGTCTTGTTAGCAGCGACGAACAATGGCTCGATTTTCCTGGTCTTCTCTGTCGTGCCGCCTTCGCCGTGGTGGCTCCACACCTAGGAGGAGAATGGAAACCTTTAGAAACCTTTAGACTTTTTGCCCCTAGTAGCGTCCTTGTTCCTAGTAGCGATGCCAGGAGCCCCTTAGTAGCTTCTTGTTGCTAGTAGCAATACTTTCTACAGATCTTTCTACTTGTGAAGCACGACTTCGTACGTGAAAAAACTGCCAAGTAGCTTGTCGATAGGGTGTGACGAAAAGGCCTCTCATTGCCTGCTGGAGCCACTGTTGGTATCAAAACTGACATGGGTGGAAATAAGTGAGAGAGTTTCTGCTCAGAACAAGGATGCAAAAGGTTGAGCATCCATTCTATCCTCGATAACCGATGCTTCTCGCTTGTCCTTCAACAAAACTGGAGGCTTGTGTGGCCAGCCTTTTGATTCGTTGTGCAGTCTATGCTTTCGTATTGGAGGCCATCGCCAGTAGGTTGGAGGCCATCGCTAGTAGGTTGGAGGCCATCACTACTGGGTGGAGGCCATCGCTAGTAGTATGGAGACAATCGCTAACTTAGTGGTTGGAGGCCATCGCGGCCATCGCTAGTGGTCTATGCTTTAGTATTGTATGTCAGCAAGCTGCGATAAGTTTGGCCTTCGCCTCCCTCACAGCGAAGCAAATGGTCCTTGGCCCAACATGGTGCGACAGTTGCCCACCGAACGGAGAAAAATTAGAAAAAGAGCCGGTCGGGAAGATCAGTGAAATGACCGCACCAAAGGGCCCTTGTGGACTCGGTTACGCGATCAAAAAGATCTCAAATTGCATGCTGTCATGCTGGCTAGCGAAAGGACAAACCTTCGGATTAAAAAAGGCTGTTACTACAACTTTTGAAGCCCTGGGCCCTGAGTGTAAAATGATGCTGGTTGAAACCAAGCCATGAAAACAACACAAAATTTCAGCCGCCACCATGCATGGCCACCCAAATGGAACGGCCATGAGCAGTTGTGGCTGTGTGGGCGAGTGTTTCGCGTGTTCTAATTCCAATTCTGGTTTTAATAGCTTCTTGTTACTACTAGTAAGGCACTTGTTACTACTAGTGTGGCACTTGTTCCTAGTAGCTTCTTGTTCCTAGTAATAAGGCCAGGAGCCCCTGGCGTCCTTGCTCCTAGTAGCGATGCCCTTTGCTCCTAGTAGCGCCCTAGATGCACTTTCGGTGTGGTCCTCACAAGCCTTTTTCCTGTGCCATCTAGTTTCCGTTTGCTCTTCGATCGTCTTCTGGACAGCCCACCAAGTCATTAAAGATCGGGGCTAGAACTGAGTCGTGTGCAGGTACAGTGACACCTGTTGACACCGATGGGAACGGACCTAGAAGCGATGGCCTCCAACCCTCCAACCTAATAGCGATGGGAACAGACTCAAGCACCTCTCTTACACCTGACAAAACAATGACCGCGACCACTCCAACAACAACGGCCATGACTTCACAGCGACGAAGCCGAGCTCCGTACAGCGATGTGGTTCTGATGGTACTCGACCACCCTTCTAGCCTGACCAAAAATCCGGATTCGAACCTTTAATTCACTAGGCTACTGAACAACCATTGTTTTACTAATGGTTTTACACTGCAAAACCAGTTCAACCATTCTATAAATGGTCTCAAGGCTATGTTGGAGGGAAAAAATCATCCAGCGAATGTACAAGCATGGGCTACCAGTGGCTACAAAGTTACACATTGACAAGATTACACTTGGCAAGTCGAAAGCAGATTGGAGGCCACCGCTAGTAGGTTGGAGGCCATCGCTAGTAGGTTGGAGGCCATCGCTAGTAGACCCTAGTAGGTCGTAGGCCACCGCTGGTAGGTTGGAGGCCATCGCTAGTAGGTTGACAGCCATCGCTCATAGGTTGGAGGCCATCGCTAGTAGACCCTAGTAGGTCGTAGGCCACCGCTGGTAGGTTGGAGGCCATCGCTAGTAGGTTGACAGCCATCGCTCATAGGTTGGAGGCCTTCGCTAGTAGGTTGGAGGCCATTGCCATTAAAAACAAAGAGATGCTTCGAGTGTCATGCGAAGGAACCACACCTGGTGCTGTCGAGCCTCCATTCCTGGCAAGGGGCCCGTACCCGCACCCAAACCTGGTGCTTGTGTTCAAAGTACAAATATATACAAATATGCTCAGGCTCATCTCACTGAATTCGGTATTTAGATGGATCGTCTTGGAAGCGTATGGCAAATAGAATGATAGTAAACAAAGGATGCCTACAAAAAGTCCTAACTTATGAATCTGGCTGAAAAACTGCCAACTGTTGGTGGAAAAGATTATGGAGCTGAAGCTGAAGGTCAACAGACAACAGAGTGGAGGAGCTCTCAAACACAGCTCGACAAAGAGCAAGAGTGGCTAATAAGAAAATCAGTCTGCAATTACTGACGACACACCATGAGTACAAGAAGGAAAAAGCACAAACTTGAAACTTTAACTCTGTCAGCATAAGTGTGACATCAACTCTACACAGCAAATGCCCCCCTCCATATTGACCGGTGCACCTCGGGACTGTCTGTCGTCATACAGGCACAAGACGGCACAAGGGCTGCGATCACTCTGATTGGGTTCATGTATTGATGTTTTGCTTTCAAGCAAAGTCTGACGCTGACATTCCAAGCCACTTATGGGTACTGGCTTGGAGGATTTTGCAAACAGAAACATGGAAAGGGCAAACGAAATGGTGTGATTTGGGGGTGCGCTCTTGCTAAAATGATATGCCCAACATGCCGTAGCTCTCACATTGGCATGAGCCGAATGATGACCATAGAATAGAGAGAGAGAGAGAGGCAACCCATGAGACTACCTACAAGTTGCAGTCCATGTCCATATATCTGTACCTGTGCCTAGGAGCAGCTTCAAACTCGTTTAGCTACCTCGTTCAAAGCAAGAGCAAACTTCGCATTGGACAGGTAGCCGTCAGCTTTGGGCCCGCTGGGTTGGTGCTGAGGACTTCTGTCAATCCTTTTTCGATAGAAAAAGCCATATATCCTGATTCAGTCAGTCGTGCCTTCCTGTCTCTCTTTGAGCAATGGAAGCGCTCGGTCCCAGAATGCGGAGGGGTCGAAGCAGTATGGTTTACAAAGGTGATCGCAGAAAAGCTGCAAATCGATGGCGGGCAATGGAGCGTCCGGCTATCCGGCGCCCGTTGATTTCATTAGTAAGTGCTCGACTGATCTCAGCTTAGCTGATCCGAGCAGCGGCGTGGCCCGTTCCACAGATCTGAATTCCTTTAAAATTCAGAATCCAAAATCGGTGTGGTCAAGGGCTCCTCAAAACGGTTTAACCATCTAAATATGCAAATAAGTCCAGCTGTTCCCCCCAGATCGATTTTACCTCGCTTTCTGATTCTCGTCCTTGACCACGTTGCAAACCCGACTTTGAGAGAAGAGGGCTGCGTGCCTCAATCTTTCAAGTACAACAATTGCTCTCGTTTCGGTCATGGAAGGAGTAAGGTCGGCATCCGCAGAAAGCCTCATGGTGCCCAAAGACAAGTCCTGTTGACCCAAGATTGTTAACACTTGTTAACAAAGGTCTTTCAGCTTTGAAGAACCAAAAAGGTGTGGGGCTGAGTTTAGCTGTGATTGCACCGTTGAGCGACCGGCAAAACTAGGGGGCGCCTGGATGGAAGTTTTATGGTAGGTATCGTTTTTGGGATTGTTATTGTGTTCTTCAATCGGTTGCTTATTTTTACTTGGGAAGTATCGTCTACATGTAAAAGAAACAACCTGTCCATTGTGTGAGAGCTAAGATTTGCAGTGGGCTTGGTGAGAGAGGATGCGAGATTTCAAGCAAGCATTCAGAACTGCTAGTGAAGCGGGAAAGGAAACACTATCATTGATTGCAAGCTGCCACAATTGGAAATCGTAGCCATGCAATTGGGTAATCGGCTTCCGAGGCAAACATACAATGCGGGTATCGTTTGGGATCGTTTTCGGTATTGCTTTACTGTGCTCCTTGCAAAAAGGCAAACCAATATGCGCATCCATGCAAGACCAAAAAACAATCTATCTAGCTTAGTCTACGTACGGGAAGAGACAAGTAGATCGACATGCCGCCAAGATGTGGACGGTCACAAGGTTAGGTATAGTAGCTTCTTGTTACTAGTAGTAAGGCCAGGAGCTACGTTCGTAGCTTCCTTGCTCCTAGTAGCGATGCCCTTTGCTCCTAGTAGCTTCCTTGCTCCTAGTAGCGATGCCAGGAGTCTTGACCTTTTGCACTTTGCTCAGTTGGTCCCCTCAGTTTGTGGTCCATAGCAGGAAGTGCTAGCCTCTCTGAGTACCGTCACGAGAACTATCGCCTTCAACTTCAATCAAACGTGTTTTGCCAGCACAATGTCTTCAAAACGTGGTCTTCAATTCAGGACATGATGTGCTGGTTTTTGTTCTGGTCCAGCTCAATTGTGCTTGTTCTGCATGCTCCACAAGTCTGCTTTTCCCAGAATCTTATCGATCTTGTCTGGTTTTCGGAATCGCAAATAGGCAAAGGAAAAGGATCATGTACAAAGGGCAGTTCTTGTTGACCATATTCTTGAGTTCTGCAGCCCTTTGCTACTCCTGTCGCCATCCCCGCTTTGGGGATGAATTGTGGCCTCTGATTTTCCAGAGATTGTATAAGTCTGCTCAGGCAGTTGCCTTTAGCAAGCCTCGCAACTTCAGCAAGTCACTTTGGCTAACACCGTTCGGCGAACTCTGACAAGACCCAAAGGAACTCCCCCACACCCCAGCCTTTGCCCACCAATCACCTTGAGACAGGGCAAATATCAACTAGGAAAAAGAAGCTACTAGGGGCTCCTGGCCTCGCTATTAAGAACAAGGACGCTACTAGGCGCTCCTGGCCTTACTACTAGGAAAAAGAAGCTACTAGGGGCTCCTGGCCTCGCTATTAGGAACAAGGACGCTACTAGGGGCTCCTAGCACGACTTGAAACTTCTTTGCGACAAACAACCCAGTTCAGGTCGGCCAAAGTGAGAAAGAACCGTCGAAAACAACGTCGCGTTGCACGAGTGTACTCGACAAGCAACCCATTTTCATCGTAGACCTTGAACAAGTGGCACGCCTTCCCGTGGCATGCCTCTCAACACAAACAAGTGCCACGCTAGTAGTAACAGGTGCCTCGCTAGTAGTAACAAGAAGCTATTAGAAACACAAACAAGTTGGACCAAGCCGGGAAGCCGAAGGTAGCTAAGCGGTAGCTTATCGTCTTACGTTACTCGTAATTACAAGTGCATCGCTAGTAGTAACAAGTGCCTTACTGGTAATTACAATTCTAATTGAATTCTTTTTGTTACTAGTAGGAAGGCACTTGTTACTTGTTACTAGTAGCGTTCTTGCTCCTAGTAGTAAGGCCAGGAGCCCCTAGTAGCAAGCCTTGTTACTAGCTTATCGTCTTACGTTCAACACGCATCGGAGAACGCCGAGAACCATCGTGTCTGGCTTCGGCCTCGAAGGCCTTGGTCTCCGAAAGATCCCATGGCGCTGACATGCCGTTGGCAGTCAGCGCACCCACATTGCGCTTGAACGGCACGTGGGTTTTGCAGCAACGTGGGCGGCATGTCCTTCGCCTTGGCCGAAAGATCTAGCAAGCTGCATCTCGATTATCTATGGAGGGCCAGACATAGTGACGATAAGCTACCGCTTAGCTACCTTCGGCTTCCCGGCTTGTGTTGCTAATAGCTTCTTGTTACTACTAGCGAGGCACCTGTTACTACTAGCGAGGCACTTGTTACTAGGAAAGAGAAACACATCCAAAGAAAGCAGATATGCAATCATCGTCCGAGCACATGGTCGCAACTTCCGAGGCATGTGCGTCGGACCTGAAAGGAGAGCTCTGCAAAGAATGATATGGCCTCGAGGCGAAGACAGGGCAAACTAAACCAAGGGGAAACAAATCAAAAATAGAAGCGATGGCCTCCAACCTACTAGTGATGGCCTCCCTAATAGGAATCAAAATAGTGCGAAAGAAATCAAGATATCGCTGAATCTTGCAAATTGAACCCCAGCTTTGAGGGCATGAGGAGCGGGACCTTTGGCCAGGAACACCATCAAGTTGCATAAAGTCTTGTGGAAGGGGTCGCCTCGGCAGCTTTGGCAACTGTCAGTGATGCGAGTGAAGGATTCTGAAGACAGAAAGATATTGAGCTGATGTGGGAACGTTCTCCGCTGAACTCACATGGAATGGAGAAAGACTCAATTCGTAAGGGAGGCGACCGTTGTTTCTCCATCAACTTGGCCAGGCGTTCCTGTCCAGCGCCTTGCAAAGAAATTCGTAAAGACGGTCGAAGGAAGCGCTCCAAAGCTGAGATAAGGACGGTCGAAGCAAGCATCGAAACCTGGGCGATGCGACACCGGAGCTTGGTGAAAGCGCCACCGCACGGCAGAGTCGCTGTGATGAGATTGTAGATTCGCTAGATTGATAAGTGGCGCAAACCGGCACGTCTCCGCGTTCCGTCAATTGCTGCGCGGACTTCTTGGTGTCCATACCCAGTACCTATGTACTTGCTGTCTTGTCCACCTGTCGGTGCATGTAGGTGTGTGTGTGTGTCACCTTGGAGTCATAGGTAGTAACAAGAAGCTATTAGAAACAAGTGCCTTACTAGTAGTACAAGGTGCCTTACTAGTAGTAACAAGTGCCTTACTACTAGTAACAAAAATCAGAACCTTTTAAGGGTGCCTTCACCCACGGACTTGACATCTGTCTTGATCAGCCAGACGTGCCTGCCGTGGTGACTCGATACCTCTTCAGCCCCGTTTGTCTTTAGAACAAGACACCATCTGTTGCACTGCTTCGTGGTAAAGGGCAAATGCATTCCGCAGATTTCCGACTCTGACAACTTGAGATGTTTGGAACGTTCATCTGTTTCAGGAGGTTCTAACACCGCTGCACGGCATGTTCACTGAGGTTTTGTTCTTCACCTAGGTTTCGTCGGGTGGTGGCTGCACGCATTTCGTTCGATCTCTATCTGTAGCACGTGTCATTTCGTTACGAAATGAAGCATCAAAGTCCCCACGCAACATGGGTCCTAAACAACCTCAACATTGAGAGACGCTGCCGAAACAAGTCCCAAGATTCAACAAACCAATAAGAAATAGTAATCCAGAATTGACCTTTGGAGGGAAAGAAATGTTGGTTTGTGAGTGCATTGTTCAAGTTTTGATTTGCAGTGATTGATGTCCTTTATGTAGATGGCGTCCGGGCCCATTATTTTTCATAGTTTTCGTGAACAGGAAGCACGGATCTTGCAAACAAAAAGTTTTGCAAACGCACCAATCTGGCAGCACGCCAGAGCAACATTGAGCAACACCATTCACACAAATTTCTGCGGATACGTCATTTCATTTCAAGCCAGCTCCCACTTTCAATCCCCAAGCTGAACTGCAAAACTGCCCTTTGAGAGACTGGCTTGAGGTTCTGCGTCTTGAACCTGCCTTGCAAAGGGCTTCTGGGCTTCTGCAATTATCGTTGGCACCGGTTGGCACCCCTTTCTTAGCTAGAGCCTGCGAAATCTACATGTAGAGAAATTCAGCGCTCCCTCATTGTCGCTGGTACTGTAGACAAAGATCGACATGAATGTCTCTTCAATGGCTTAAAGCAAACGGAGCGTCCTACTTCAGTGTCTGCACTCTCACTCGCCCAATACGCAACACGACTTCGCATTTCCCTTGGCACCTCGCTCCGTGCGAGCATCTCACCATCAAAGGATCCGATCGGCTGCAAATAACTGTCAATCAGCTTTTTGCCAACCGTATCTCCAAAATAGTCGCGGCGAGCTTCACGAGCTTCCGGTGAACGATGTGACTGGAGAGGTGCATACGGTGAATATGGTTGTGCCATCGCCGAAATTTGTGGAGAGCTGCTTCGGCGTCCAATTGAAGGCTGCCCGACCCGCTCGCCGCGCTCTTCAGGCGCCAAAACCTGCGTCAGGTCCAATTCGTCCAATCAGTGAAAACACTCGTGAAAAATGAGGAATAGTCTGGAAAAAACATGGACAGGAGCTTCTGGTGTGGTACATTGCACCATGACAATCCCCATGATTTCTCAGCTCGATAATCAGATCAACGATCTACATCACCACTTGTGGCTCTAATGGTGCTTCTCTGGCACACAGGGAATCTGCATATGGACACGTAACAAAGAAGCTACTAGGAGCAAAGGACGCTACTAGGGGCACGTAACAATGGACCTAATGCTGCAGACATTTCTTAAGACACATTCGCCAAAGGTAGCAGAATCTAGCAAACGCCGAACGACACATCACCTGACAACACATCTTTCCTGAAGATGCATTCCCGCTTGCCACACATTCTGTGATATCAGGATCATCCCTGACAACACACAGTCACCAGCCAGCAATGACACGTTGCGACGACATAATATATTTCCTGATGGCACAGTACCCAATGTACCACATTCAACTAGGAACAAGAAGCTACTAGGGGCTCCTGGCATCGCTACTAGGAACAAGAAGCTACTAGGGGCTCCTGGCCGTACTACTAGGAGCAAGGACGCTACTAGGAGCAAGGACAGTACCCAATGTACCACATTCCACTCGGAAGACATGTTCTGACGGCACATGGTCTGTGCACAGCAGGCGAGGCACATAGCATCAAATCCCACAGGACACCATTGAAAGAAAGAAAGGCTGAAAAAATGCAATAGCTAAAGGTCTAAACAAAAACATGAAAAACAAAATGAAATGGCAAGACAATCAAAAGAAGACCAAAAGAAGGATTTGACTCACTCTTGAGTCAAACCTTACATTTGGTCCCGCGGGTACATTGTCTTAGGAGGAAAGAATGCACTGGGATAGTCTGTCTACGAGAGAAAAATTGTGTTTGATGAATGTGTTGTCGCCTTCAAAATGAAAATACATCAGTTTGGAAAGAAACACGGTACCCATAAACAAGTGCTCTTCACCCAGCCCCCATGGAATGGCCTGACTCATTCTTCGAGCTCCTGCTGATGAAGCAGCACGTCGTGCACAGTCACTGCAATTGCAGTGTTGTTGCCCTGGCGGGCCTGGCTGTTGCATCATCATACCTTGTGTTGGCATCTCCATTTGTGCCTCCAGGGTTGAAAAACATCCAATACATCTGCGCTTACATTCTTACATTTGTCTATGTCACCCACTGCCAAAGTCGAGAATCTCTCAATCTCTGTCTCCTCCTAAGGCTCATGATGCTGCATGTTTACTCTTATTTTCACTCATGGCATGAACTCAGAGTTGTATTTGCTTTGCTCAAGAGACTGTGGACAGGGATGTTGAAATGAAGTTCCACAACCTGTCTGTTGCAAGCCAAATCAAAGAGACTCTTGAGGCTGTTGAGGGTAGCCGTGGTTTGCTAGCAAAAGAGTATCTGTTGTGAGTTATGTGTTGCTGTAGGGTGCTAGAAATACCCTGAAGCAACCAGTTGCATTACATCAAACTGGAGCTACATCACTTTGGAAGAAACACGGTACACATCAACAAGTGTTCTTCATCCAGTCCCCTATGAAATGGCCTGACTCACTCTTCGAGCTCCTGCTGATGAAGCAGCACGTCGTGCACAGTCACTGCAATTGCAGTGTTGTTGCCCTGGCGGGCCTGGCTGTTGCATCATCATACCTTGTGTTGGCATCTCCATTTGTGCCTCCAGGGTTGAAAGACATCCAATACATCTGCTCTTACATTCTTACATGGGTCTATGTCACCCACTACCAAAGTCGAGAATCTCTCAATCTCTGTCTCCTCCTAAGGCTCATGATGCTGCATGTTTACTCTTATGAAATGCCGCAACGCCAAGCTACCTTTTCCTCAAAAGGATAGGCTCAAGGGCCCTCGGGGTGATCGGGCCGAGACACCGGCACGGCAGGTTCAGGTCAGAACATGAGCAACATGTCCTACGTTCGACATCCTTCAGGGGACTTTCATGTTCTGAAGGCTCTAGTCCTGACCTGCCTGTCTGGCCAGTGCGACCTCGCGGAGGACATGATCCTCCTCAAAAGCGAGGAATTTCCTAACCTCTTCGTGAGAGGATCTGCCAACATCTCACTTCCAGGCACCCAAAAGGTCTTGACCTTCAAGGCTCGCGCACTGACGAAGATCACCGCCACGTCCACCTGGGCCCTCCTGTCGTGCCCAGCGTTGCCACTCCTCCTCGAAAGGAGGTCGAACAAGGCTTTGGCGTCGGTGACATGTGCGCCAGTGCCTTCATCGATCACTCGGATCGACCGAACCTGCTCATCTTCCTCCTCCGGCAAGCGAACCACCAGAGCAGATTCTTGATCTCCAAGGCGGGTGCCGTCCATGACATTGCTGGCAGGGTTGAGCACTTCATTCCAAAGCGCTCTCAGCCATTCAACCTCCGCAAGGACGTCGTCCATGGCCAATGCCTCACTTTTTAAAGTGGCCTTGACCACTCGTTTGAGCTTGTGGGACTTCCATGAGTTGATGGAGAAGGTGGCCGAGGCTCCATCCAGGATGCTTTGGTGCACCAGGGCCAAAAGAAAGCCGCCTTGGCTCTTGTTCTCGAGGTTGGCCAGGCTTGCATCGGCCTTCGGTGTCATTCCACCAACGGCCCGGGTCAGTGACCTAGGATGTTCCGCTGGTGCGGAAGCAGCCGCTGCCCAAGGATCTGGTAAATGAGGGGGTTCGTAATCGCCGGATCCAGGGGGTTCCTGATCGCCGTCTTCAGGTAGTCCAAAAGGTCGTGAACCACCTGGAGGTTGAGGTGCCGTCGGAGATCTGCGGGGAGACGCTGTGGGAGGTGTCGGCGATGGAGTACCTCCCAAGCCAGTTGACGTGGCACCAACTCCGCCTCTCCAAAACTCTCGAAGAGGTCGGCTCATCTTCACCTGAAGGTCAGGTTACGCTCGTCCTCAAGGACAAAGGAGAAGTCCAAGCAGTAGTTGCTCGGGTAATCGAAAACCGCTAGGATGTAGCTCGGGCGAAGCAAAGGTTGGGCTCCCAAAGGATCCTCCGGACGTCAGTCCGTATCAGGGCAAAGAAAACGAGGAGGTCGAAGACGAAAAACTGTCCTTGGTGCCGGGGCGTCCCCCGGCTCAAGTCCAGCACGTCCGGAGCCACGGTCGTCACCGCGGCTCCGCTACCATGAAATGCCGCAACGCCAAGCTACCTTTTCCTCAAAAGGATGGGCTCAAGGGCCCTCGGGGTGATCGGGCCGAGACACCGGCACGGCAGGTTCAGGTCAGAACATGAGCAACATGTCCTACGTTCGACATCTTATTTTCACTCATGTCATGAACTCAGAGTTGCATTTGCTTTGCTCAAGAGACTGTGGACAGGGATGTTGAAATGAAGTTCCACAACCTGTCTGTTGCAAGCCAAATCAAAGAGACTCTTGAGGCTGTTGAGGGTAGCCATGGTTTGCCAGCAAAAGAGTATCTGTATCTGTTCTGAGTTATGTGTTGTTGTAGGGTGCTAGAAACACCCTGAAGCAACCAGTTGCATTACATCAAACTGGAGCTACATCAGTTTGGAAGAAACAGGGTACACATCAACAAGTGTTCTTCATCCAGTCCCGCATGAAATGGCCTGACTCATTCTTCGAGCTCCTGCTGATGAAGCAGCACGTCGTGCACAGTCACTGCAATTGCAGTGTTGTTGCCCTGCCAAGCCTGGCTGTTGCATCAGCTGTTGGCCTGGCTGTTGCATCATCATACCTTGTGTTGGCATCTCCATTTGTGCCTCCAGGGTTGAAAGACATCCAATACATCTGCTCTTACATTCTTACATTTGTCTATGTCACCCACTACCAAAGTCGAGAATCTCTCAATCTCTGTCTCCTCCTAAGGCTCATGATGCTGCATGTTTACTCTTATTTTCACTCATGTCATGAACTTGCATATGCGATTCTATGACGTTCATATTCCTTGCTTTGCTCCACTCTTCACCTACTCTTCCAAAACTTTGCCTGGTTCATTCTGGGAGAGATCGCTGATGAGGCAGCATGTCGCGCATAGTCGCTGTAATTGCATTGTTGGCCTGGTTGTTGCACCATCGTACCTGGCGCCATCTGCATTTGTGCCTCCAGGGTTGAAGAAGATTCAGTACAGACCTACTTTTGCAACTATGTGGGTATCTACAACCAAAGCTAAGAATCTCTGGCTCCTTCCCAGACTAAAGATTCTGAATTTGAGGGCTTCCCTTGATCCTAATGCCACACATGTGGCGACTTGCACTGAGTCCAAGGATAGAAATGGCCTGACTCATTCTGGGAGCTCCCCCTGATAAGGCAGCACGGCGTGCACAGTCGCTGCAATTACAGTGTTGTTGGCCGGGCTGTTGCATCTTCTGCTGTCAGGCCTCCAGGTTTTGTCTGGGGCTTTTCTCTGTTTCCTGCATCTGAGAACCTCATAGCAATAGCCTCCAAGCCAATAGCGTCCTTGTTCCTAGTAGTACAGCCAGGAGCCCCTAGTAGCGTCCTTGCTCCTAGTAGCGATGCCCCTACTAGCGTCCTTGATCCTAGTTTCCCTAAAATCTAGGAACCAAATCATTAGTGCGAGCGCTTCTTCAAGGAAGATTCCCCGCCGTAGCTTCTCCCTTATTAAGTTGGATCCATCGACTTCGCATGGTTCAAGAACCCAGACCAACCACACGCACATCACAAGCAACTGATCTGGCGTTGCCTTCTTCTTGGGCTGAAAAGCACACGGACAAGCGCAATACACTCTGAGCCGCAACTTCAAAGTTTCTATGCAACTCTTTGCGCCATTGACAAGAAGGGGTTGGGTGTTGGCCTAGGTTGGAGGCATTCGCAATTAGGTTGGAGGCCATCGTCCTCAGAGTCACTGAGGTTCTCACTGGCCCGCGCAAGTTGTGTGTCAGAATCGAGCTGCCGCAAAAGGTGCAAACACTTTTCGTAAAGCTCAGGCATTCGGTAAGTCACACTTCCAACTGCTGAGAGTTGGTGAGAACTTTGGAGCTTGAACGCGTTGCATTTCAACTTGAAAATAGTCCAAGAAAACAGTCACAATTGCTCATACACTTTGGCGCCGAGTGAGGCGCAGAGCTCTGCTCTACTTCATCCACATAGGCAAGTGCTCACCCGCCTGGATATAGCTGAAGCCATCAGATTCAATGCCTTTCTGATACTTCTGCCAGGGGAAGTCATTCACCTCGTTCGCAAGAGAGCACTTTGGATCAAAAGTTCTTCCGGAAAAAAGAAAAGAAAGAAAAAACACTAGGAGCAAGAAGCTACTAGGAGCAAAGGGCATCGCTACTAGGAGCGATCGGACGCTACTAGGGGCTCCTGGCCGTACTACTAGGAGCAAGTAGCTACTAGTAACAATAGGACATCATTGCATAAAGGTGTATCCGCTCGACCATCCTACTAGCAATGGCCTTCAACGTAATAGCTGTGAAAGATTCCGTGTTTTTGGTGCAGCATTGTCCAGAGTCTTCCTTCGCATGAGACCGCTATGAACCGCAGGTATCGATACCATCAATTGCTGAAAACAGCCGCCCCGCTTTGCTTGTGCTTCGCTTTGCGCTTTGTAAACTCCCCCCTTTTTGGCATTCATTGTTGCCCGCTGGTGGTTGGTTTTTGCGTGTTCGATTGGTTAAACAATAGCAATGGCCTCCAACCTAATAGCAATGGCCTCCAACCTAGTAGCGATGGCCTCCACCCGAGTAGCGATGGCCTCCACCCTAATGGCAAAATCTTACTATGCTAGATTGAACTGTTTGGGGGGATGAGTTGCTTTCGTACTCTGCCGCTTCATGTGCCAGTTGCAAAACTCCTCTTTGTGCGTTTTATGTGATCTTTGCTTGTCATTTGTATTGGCAGTCATACTAAGCTTTGCTCGGACATGTGTCTTGCCCACACCCAAGCACATATGGATGTTTATGTTTTGGCCGCCCGTTCTGTTTATGAATCCCTCCTCACCAAGCAGCCTCTCCGCTGAAAGGATCCGCCAGGCTGGCATTCACCAGCAAAATTGCGTTGTACAAGAGGGGAATGAAGAAGACCTGGCAATTCGAACTGAAGACCTCAAGAGGATGTTCTTCGAAAAAAATGACTTGGAATACGTTGAGTCTAAAAGACTTGGGATCATCGCGTTGGCGCCTTCAAAGTTAGGAAGACTTGGCTCACACTGAAGTGATCCATCTTCCAAGTGGTGCCCATCATGTATCCGTAGGACAAACCCAGAATAATGTTGTGGATCTTCACCAAGAAGCCAATGAAGTGCACATAAGGCAGGGGAATGGGAGTTCCCATCTGTGCTCCAATGAGTGCTGCACCACCACGTCCAAGATTCACTCCTTAAGACAAAGTTTGTCAATAAAAAGGTGCTCCAACATGTGTTGTTTCCGCTATGTTTCTAGTACTGCAGCTGTCTGGGGTATTCAAAGGCAGAAGAGGTCCAACCCTCCTGCGAAAGCGACCGGTGGTCGGACACAATAGAGAATAGAAAGGATCTTCTTCAAGGATCTTCTTCCTCGCAAGAAGCAAGGAAGGGTAGTTAAGTCCAAGACCTTCCGCGGGCAACGGGTAGCTTAAGCACTTTCGTTTGCTGCTAAGAAGCTGGAGTGTTTTCTACTAAGAGGGGGAAGAGAATGCAAACAGGTGACAAAAGGTGCAGTGGTTGACAGGCAATGCTCTTCGTTGCTTGGCACAAAGCAGCACCAATCTGGGAATATCTGGGAGAGTCCACAAGCTAAAGGGTCGCCCTTCTGGAAATTGGTGAGAGTTAGCAAACCGATGATTGTTTCACTTCCAAGTGCGCATTTGGAACAGACCCAACGTCGCAAAAAAAGAAAGAAAAGAGCAAAGGAAGAGAACAACCTCCGGAGATGTCCTTTGACCCATCCTGATCATTGTTATATCTGTGGTGATTGTGCAATGCTGTCATACAAATTCGCACACTGGCTGCTACAAAACTGCTGAACTAGTCCGCGACAAATTGGCCTAGTGGTGGTATTGAAGACTGCTATGCTGAATCAGGGACAAATGTCCTAGTGGGCACAAGGTTCGCACTTGCAATGCGACATCTTTGTTTGGCAGCCTATTGAATCATAATGATGCTTGATAAAGAATGGTGTGATAGAGAAACGTGTGTGACTGCCTTTCAATTGCCCATCCTGAAGTTGCTTCAGGCGCTAAGATAGGGTGTTGACGGTGTTGATGGGATTTGGTTGCTGCACATCGCTCTTTTCTTGGCGGCGATGCCCAGACTGTGAAAGTTCAGGTGTGATGAAGTAAATGCCGGGGACAGCGACCAACAAAGAAACCTTACTCAAACTTGGCATATCCAGAATGGCCATCCGGACGTACCTGTAAAGCGATTCACGATGGGAGTTGAACTGTTGCGCAAAATGCTTACACACAGTCATCAAACGTTTGATCGATTCAGATTTTAGTCTAGTGTTAGAAAGCATGTCGATAGTTGGACTCCACTTCTCCTGTACGAATGTCCCTCTGGTACTGGTGACCTGCGCTTACAGAGGACATGCCTGTCCTAGGAAGTAAGCTAGCAGCAGCAGCATTTGGGGAAGATGTTCCTTTCTTCCTTCCTTTCTTTCTTTCAGACCTTTGAAGTTGTGCAATTAAGATGCACCTAAGCTTCTCTCCATGAGAAACGTCAACATCATCTCGGACTTAATCTGGCCTTTCTTGTAAAGATCAGCCACAATATGCGCCACCCAGGTCCACACACTCTCGGCCAAGTTCGAGTTGTAGGCCCGTAGCTGCTCCACCTTGGAGTTCAATCATATAAGAGACCCCAGTTTGATAAGACTAGTACCTTCTGAACTTCTTAATGTGTCCTTTTCTCTTAGTGTGACATTTCTAACTCTGAGACTTTTAGACCTTTCCTCTTCGTTTCCCTTTCTTTTCTGCGTTCCTTCTTTCTTCTAGAGAAGACTAGTGCCCCAGCACAACGGTGCCATACAAAGCTCATCTGATCGCAAAAGGTATGCGCATCAACGACATGTCATTCAGTAGTTTAGACATTCTTGCACCTCATCCAAAGTGAAAATGTCATCGTCCACCAATTTGTCCAACTTTCGGACAAAGTCTGCACCGTATCGCCTCCCAATTCCCAAATTGCACAAAACAAGAAGGAAAGGAATGGCCTCCAACCTAAGAGCGATGGCCTCCAACCTAGTAGAAAGGAATGGTGGACAGAATTGCACTCCCCCACAGGCCCCACAGAGGCTCACCACATGGACAGAATGCGCTCATCACTCAGAACGTCTTGTGCTTCCATGGCGATCTGAAGAATCCGATGCATCCCCACCAGTCCCTACCTCTTCAAGAAGACCAACGACAAGGAGCCCCGTGCATAGCGCCGCAACGCTCCAAGGATTTGGGGATCCCGCGTCACGAACTGCGAGATGAAGAGGCCTCGGACACAAAGAAACCGAAACAGAGCAACAAATTTCAAGATACCAGAGCCAGAGACGAGAAAAATCAGTTTGACATCAGCTCCAACGATTTGGAAGCGCTGAAATGCTCGAACTGACAACCAACTGAAGACTGAAAATGCATTTTTGGAAAAATGCCTCTAGGTTGGAGGCCATCGCTACTGGGTTGGAGGCCATTGCTATTAGGTAGAATGCTATAGTAGCCCTTTGCTCCTAGTAGCTTCTTGCTCCTAGTAGTACGGCCAGGAGCCCCTAGTAGCGTCTTTTGCTCCTAGTAGCGAGGCCCTTGTTACTAGTAGCGTCCTCTTGCTCCTAGGCTTCAAGAATAACTCTATAGATCCAAGGCTCTGAGCTGGGAGGCGCTTGACCAAATGTTCCCCACGCCATCTGTGCGCAGGCGCCACCAACGGCTCACCGTAAGCGAGGTGTAGAAGCCCAGCAAAAAGGCCGCCAAAGTTGCCTCAATCTGAAGCGAAGCAACGAAGTACGAGAACAGGAGGAACTGAAAAAGAATGCAAAGGCATAGAAGGAGAATCACGCTAAGACCAAAACACTATCGATGCAGTAACGTTCAAAAGGACATGCATTCAGGCCGTTTTGTGGGAAACTTCCAAGGAGCCATCTTGTCAGCGAAACTGCCAGCCTCTTTCGAGGTCGCCTTGGTTGGAGATGTGGGAAATAGACTAACTTGAAAAAGATAGAATGATGAGCTACACTTCCTACTACGAGCTCAAGAAAGTCACGAGAGGACTTCGTGAACCGGAAACTCAAACACTGTACACTGCCGGCCTCATCGTGAATGCCAAAGTGATGAACAGCGGCTGCCATTCCCACAAAGAGAGCCAAAATCACAAATTGCTCCACCCACAGCGCGGGACTTGTAAAGACCGTTCCTCTCATGGTGAAGAAGAGCATGATTGTGGACAACTGTGTGGGCTCGTAATCCACCCTTAGCAAACTGGTCGGGTTTGAAGATATTGAAATCAACCAAACAGTCCAGGAAAAAAGGAACACAGGAGAAAGGGCAAAAAGGAGAAAAAATATAGGAGGGTTGAAGGTCCAAAGAAGGAAAGAGAAGAGAGAAGACAAACGGTCTGAAGGACCAAAATAAGAAATCAAATATGAAGACAAAGCAAAGAGATACAGACCCATTTGCAAAGAAATAAATAGGAATAGAGAAAGCAAGTTATCTGGGATTTGAAAATGTTCAATTTACTACTAGTAGTAAGGAGCTACTAGGTTAGAGGCCATCGCTACTAGGGTGGAGGCCATTCCACTAGTAGCAAGAAGCTACCAGTAGCTATTTGCGACTAGTAGTAATGGCCTCCAACCTACTTGCAATGGCTTCCACCTAGTTCCTTACTACGAGTAGCGATGCACAGTTCTTTCCCGACACCAAGCAACACAACTTCGACTCCAGCTTCTTTGAGCGCCACAGTCGACTCATGGGCCTCAGAAAGAATTGAAAAACATTCTCTCCGGCTTCGAGAAGGAAAACCTTTTGTAAAAGGCCGCTAGGAGCTAGCTGAAGCTAGAGGTAGCTAGGAGTACCTTAGTTAAGCTACTAGTATGGACGCAGGATAGCTCACGCCAAACATTTAGTTCCTAGATTTCTTTTTTTTCACTACAACCTAATAGCAATGGCCTCCAACGCGATGGCCTTTTGATCGATTGAAACACTGAACATGAGAAGTTATTTCTTATTCTTTCCTCTTTGTCTGGGGGGTTAGGCTGTGAAGTGGGCTAAAAGAGAAACGGCTTAAGGTTACACTAGCAGCACAAATGCAGTAAAGCTCTCCTTCAAGGAAGATTCGACTACCTTGAAGAACCCGGGCAGTACAAAACAGTTCCTGTACAAAAAGGTTCGTAGAACAACTAAGCTTTAGACCTTAACCGTTTTTGTTGTCCTTCTGTCCTTCCTCGTATTCTGCTTTCTGTGGGGCTCTTTGACCTTCTCGATACTATCCAAAACAAGCTCTTCTCGTGAGCCCCACAACACATTTGCACCCTAGAAGTGTCTTGGGCCCTTGCTGAATAGGCTTTTGTGAAAGCCTGCTTCTCGAAGTCGGAGTCAGTCTCCGTTTCCGACATGGCGATCAAAGGCTACCAGCCAGAAAGTACAATGGCAATCTAACACAGGCTGATGAGCTGCAAAACGCGCCATGTCAAGTTGGTGGAAACTCTGGCTACCTCGCTTCTGCGTTTACCTCTTGCCTTAAGCTGTCATTATCCATTTTCGTTTGCAGAAGTCCACACACCTGCTCTATTCTTCTTTCAATTTGTGTGCTTTGGTCTTTCAGTGAACACCAAAAGAGAAAGGGGAAACGTCAGAGGAGACCAATCGAAGAATGTCTCGCGTTCCATTCCTCGTCTCTTCCCTTTCGAGACGTGTAGACACGGGACAAGGTTAAGTCGGAGACCAGAGAGAAAAAAACGTGTCGTCCGACCTTATTATGTTGTAGAAAATATAACAAGTATTTGGAAGGCTAGGCCACGTTGGAGATGCTTAGAGAGTTCTCTAGCAACCAATCCGACATCTGAAGAATAGCTGCCAGAAATTCCTTTTTGGTGTCCTGTTTAGTTCTGATCTCCAATTGTTTGCTCCAGTTTGTTGTCATGTTGTTTTTCGACTGTTCTCTTGCACCTTTATCACGTTCTCTGTTCGCTCTGTCGACTTTGACTGCTCCTGCCAACAAGCTGCTTCAGCAGCTTCCATGCAGCGCAAAGTACCTACTTCTTCCGAAAGCGTACAGTATACCAATAAAGAAGGAAAAACACAGCCCCAAGTCTGAAGGCGATAGCTATTAGGTTGGCCATCGCTAGTAATAACTCAAAAGAATTATTCTGTATGTTTCATTTCGTTTCTTTTCATGCACAACTTTTATGGCACCGTTCTTTGCGGCGGGTCGTTGGCGTTTGTGGCCCATCTTTGGGGCTGTAGTGAACATCCAGCACCGCAGACTTCAGCAGTGGCACAAAGGTAGAGCAAAGCTAGAGACAAAGGCCTTACACCGAAGGTTTTTGGACATCAATACCTCTCACTCCGAAGAAGAAGAATGTGTCTCATGCGTCTCTTATATCCCAAGGCCAAAGCCGACTTTCAGCTGAAGTTTTCGTTCGCAACCAGGTAGGTGTGCCAAAAAAACCACAACCAGCCCCTAGTAGCGTCCTCGTCCTTGCTCCTAGTAGCGGTGCCAGGAGCTCCTAGTAGCGACGATACAAATGCATTCTGCATAGAAAAATGCCCATACGCTGCGGCACTTTGCATCGGCTTTTGCTCTGCCCGCGCCGGTCTGCTTCATTGTGTGGCAGCTGCAGCTCCAAGATTCGAAGCAACGAGATTTGAAAAAGCTCGAGAAGAGAAGAACCTACTAGAAATGGCCTCCAACCTAATCAGCTGGTTGAGAAGCAGGCAAATAGAGCAAAGAACGCAACAAGAGTGTTTCGCAAGCTAACCACTATGCAGTGGTCATTGATAACACTGAAACTACACAACAAAGGAAGTGACAAAGAAGAAAACCCTTGGAGCAATGAACGTTGTTCTCAATGAGCACATCATTCTGTTTAGACATGTTCTAGACCTTACTATAAGCCACAAGAAGTCGGAGAAAGTAGGCCTGAGAACCTGGCGAGTCCCCATCCTTCAGAATTTATCGGATGCTTGAGGCCTACAACAGAATCTCAGGCGACATCCACAACCCCACCCACCCACACCACCCGCTCCACCCGGCATCCCGTCCACCATACAAATCCTTGTTGCGACACCGTTGAGCATCCCGAGCATCCGGTCTGTCGCCAACCCCTCGGATACCTAGTGACTCCCTGTGTGGCTCCTTCACCTTATCGACACGAGACCTTTCACACAGCTAGAACCTTTCACACATCGCTTTCCCCGAGAATACAAGAGAAACTGAGCAGCCAAAATGCTTTTGGGCTGAAAACAATAATGGAGTAGAATCAGAGGATCTTTTCCAAAGAATGATCTTTACAGCAATCCAATGGGCCATTTGCACTCCCTCACCTGCAAGGATGTCTCCCCAAAGCTGTCTTCACCCTTGATACTTTCCTTTGCATTGCTTTGCCTGCTTCACACCTATCGTCAGCCGCCTCCCATGGTACCTCTGAACTGCGAAAGGATCTCTCCATTCTTCCGAGTGATCACTCGGATATGTGTTTGGGGCGGCCTCGGAGCATGGCTACAATTGCTATTACAATGGGGCCATCACTAGTAGGTTGGAGGAACTCGGGTCTGCAATTGTGAGTCTCCAAGGAGCTGCTTCAAGGACAACTTACCCTTTCTTGATAAAACCTGTGACTTGCAAGACAATAAACGCCGGAAATCAACTCCAAGCGACTTCTCCAAACGATCAATCACAACAGCATCAGCGCCTTCTTGGAAGGCCTTTTCAATACGTTCCTGGCGCAGGAAAGCCTCTGGTCCACTTTTCAAAAATCCAAAGGAAGTGCTGAGTTACTTTGGCATAGTGATCTGTTCCAAACAAAACATTCTGTCACCACCTTGAAATTCCACGGGCAATCTTCCAGGAATTCCTCCACCGCCAGTGAAGGCGCCCTCACTGTCAGAGTCTGGAGTCCGTCGGCCCCCATCTCCAGGATTGCCTCTGTGAAGATGGTATTTCTCTCATGACCAAAAAAACAGACATGGACATCATTGGTGGTTTAGGCCACAGCTATTTGTCCTAAATCTTTGTGGACTCTGCTCCTGTAGTAGCCAACAAAGTTGAGCTGATGTGCGGCCCAAACAACGGTGCACAGAACAAACTTCTAACGCTCACCAATAAGATTGTGGCTTCACATTCTGCCAATTCCTGCCTCGTTGTGAGTCCAAGAACACTGTGGTTCAATACTAGATTGGTTGTCATCACTTCAAGGTTGGAGGCCATTGCTACTAGGTTGGAGTCCTATTTGAAGCAAACAAAGCCCTGCGGCCCTGCCGAGCCTCGGGTTCAGCCAGGTGCTTTGCTTTGCCCTTGGATTTTCCGACAGCCTTCGGCCGCAGCGCTGCAGCCTTCGCCTTTGCCAACGCAACATGGGAGCGGGGCGGTTTTGGCACAGCAGTGCCTTCAGGGAAGACATTCTCCTGCACCGACGACTTCACGCTCAAATGCTCCCAACACTCCAAAAGTCTGTTCGACAAAGAATCCAGCGCGGGCGATGCGAAGAAACACAAGCTCCTTAAAGCTTCCCAGGTTCCCCGCGGGGAAATAATTGGCCACGCAAAACCTTTGCAAAGTGCAAGTTGAGAAAAATTGAACTGCTAGACCGGCTAGACCAGTGGGTGTGAGACAAATCCGTCCACAAATGCGAATCGAGAAGCATACCATCTTCAGACACTGCCATGGCGGCATGTGTGGTTCTTTTCCAGACCACTTGTGTGAAATGCTCGGTCTCAGGGGAGCCCAGCGACTTGGAAAAGTCGTAGCCCGGTTCCTGCACTTCTTTGTACCAAGACTCCACGATCACGTTGGGATGAGGGCAAGTGCAAGGATTCCTTAGTTTGCACCCATCGATGTCCAATTCCGTTGGCTACTGCGCTACGCCACAGCCAAGTGTCCAATAGATGTTCTGCCCATGCCGTCCAGATGTCCCTTCACAGTGGCCCTGGAGCATACGGCCTGCAGCCTGACAAGCATCAGCCTGCCTCTTGGCATTTTCGTAGCATTCATCACCTAAGAAACACACTCTTGGCATGTCAAAGCCAAAGAAACAAAAGAGAATTAGCCCGGGAGAGAATCATAAAGACCAGTTCAAAGGTCTCAAGAAAGAAGAATGAAAGCATGTTTGGATTAAAAGAAGACACATGTCATTCGCTTGTTTTTGTTTGTTTCTTTTTCACACTTCGAGTCACCTTTAGTCTTAAGAAGTAACTTACCCGTACGTCAAGGACACCTGCGGCAACAATCAGAAAAAGGATACTTGGTAGAAGCCTTTGGTGTTCCCTTACTTGTGAAGCCATTAGGTTGGAGGCCATCGCTCTTAGGTTGGAGGCCGTCGCTATTAGTTGTGTTCGTTAGACCTCTAGAAGGAGTGTTGTGAAGCTTGCTGCTCAAGGACTCCATTCGAGGTCCAGTACGCCATGCCGACGCCGTAACCAGTTGTGTGCCAGAAGGGCCCGCTCCTGCGTAGAAAAATAAGCACAAAAGAAACCTGACAATAGTAGCGATGGCCTCCAACCCAATAGTGTAGAAAATAACATGCACACGCTTCGGTTGCTACAGAACGCTGGTTTTCCCTGCCGCACTCTGATCGTCGAAAAGAAAGCGACTAAGACCCCTTTGTTTAGAAGTGGGAGCACGAACGTTGGACTTGAGGCGGGAAGGTGTGTGAACCCGCACAAAACATGCTACTAGTAGCAAGAAGCTACTAGTAACAAGGTACCTTACTACTAGTAGCAAGAAACTACTACTACTACTACTACTACTACTACTACTACTACTACTACTAC